CCTTCTATACGGCACACGAGCCTGAGCCTCCCTCGTCGTCGCGATGTATTCGACCAGGATGGTGAAATGCCATCTGCTCAGAGTTCGGCTTCAGCCTCTGATACTGGTGATGACCGCTCGCAGACACCACCGGCTGGGACACCGCACAAACGACTGCTGGAACTCAGTCCAAACCCAAGACAGAGGCTCGTCTCTGAACCTACTACGCCAAATCGCCAAAGTCTCTTGCGAAACGGTGCCAATACACCTGGAAGTTTGTTGAGGCGTGGACATACGCCTCGAGGCGAATTGATGACAGTCGACGAAGGAGAAGGCAAGAGCCCTGCTAATGGTTCTGCCAAGAAGTCTAGGACACCTATTCCTTTGGAATTCTTGAATGCGGACCCACATGTATGTCCTTTCAATAATCAGAGTCTACCAGAGTAGTAGCTAATTTTATCACTCAGCCGTCTGCTCATGTAGACGAATCGGATGCTAGTGCGGGTGCTCTGTTGACTTTGCCTCGCCCACCGTCCACGAGTAGGCAACCATCACCCGGTCTATATAGCTCTCCAGGATCTCCATCTCTCGCAACTTCTTCCGGTACTCTTGGTGGGCCAGACAGCAGAACATCGCGTCGACCGCGCCCACCGGGTTTGCGAAATTCCTATGATCGATGGGGAGAGTCGTACGACAAGTGGGAGAAATCACAAATGGAGCGGCAGGAGGACAGCCCAGCGGACACTGATTCGTCCATGCAACAACAACAAAGACGTGGACTTTGGAGTGTAGTCAATGAGAGCCTGAAAGCTGCAGGTCTTACTCCGACCAGTGCGACCAGTGTGACAAGCGGAACTTCGAGCATGCGTCGAAAAGCCGAGGACGAGGGTGCACGACCAAGAAAATTGAGTACTGGTGTACTGGGACGTGACGTGTTTGCAAATTCACCAATGTCCTCAGTTCGAGAGAGGAATTGGGAATCGATGGATTTGACAAAGGCCCGATCGTCAACAGAAAAGGAAAGACCGCGGTCCAGAATCTCTCCTGAAGATCAAGATTCACGTTCAGACATTGACAGTCTTCGAGATCGCGTCAACCGACATCCATTCTTCTCCCCCAACGTCCGCGCAACTCGCACTATTCACAATGTTCTCGGTCACCCCGAAGATAGTGCTAGTACGAACGGAGTCGATATTGCTGATGGACGGGAAACTCCTGCGAACCTTCGAATATTCAAGTCAAACTACTCGAGTCAATTTACTTCTAGCCCTATGATGAAGAGCTACACTTCTCCTAGCGGCACTCAACGGACACTCCCTCCTCGTGCTGCCACCGTTGCCAACCTGAGTACTGGAAGTCCCAAGGTTGGTACGAATGGTAGCCCCATGAGTGCTGTCAACACCTCTTCTGGTAACCTCTCTACCAGTGGAGGCCCGGTGCAACTTCTTCAAGACGCCTTGTTCATGTTCGAGTCGCATGTACAACGTCTCCCCCAAAGTTCAGCGATGCCCGATACATTTAACGATGTCCTACGAGATGCCAAGGGAATCGTGCATGCAGCCTCGTCCCTCAACATTGCATTGAGGTCTGCTGCTACTATCTGTGTAGACGAGCAAATCGATGCCGAGGTAGAAGCTCAAGCGGCAAATGCTACCAAAGAAGGCAGTTCACCCTCTGAGATTGCCGAGGTTTGGCGAAAAGTTGGAGCCGAGTTCCGGGAGGATGTGAGAGCATCGGATGAACTTGTGCGTGCATTGACTAGCTTCATGATTGGTACTGGTCGCATGCTTCGAACTGCCAGTTCCGCCAATCATAACCGAATGAAGAGCATTGGCGACAATGCGAGCACAGTTGGTAGTGTATCAAGAGCAGGTGGTACCTCGCTTTCTCGAGGTACTAGCTTGGTTCGCGGCGTAGGTGGTGGCAGCAGTGATGGACGTCGTAGCGTAGAAGGT